TTCAGGGTCTCACTACTAGATCAGACTTATAGCAATCCAGCTGTTTACAGCCTCCCACGAGCTGGGATTACCGGTGTGCGCCACCACTCCCACTGTCAGTTACCATCTCAGTGCACCCGGGGGCGGGGCCCCGGCACAGCAGGCCCGGGATTGAGCCCCTGATCCCCTCACCTGCTTGCAAGTAAAATAATATTTGATGGAAAATCGAACACAATAATTCAGTTCCAGTAAAATTGTCTTTTATACAGTTTTGAATATTTTTTGCTAGGCAGATTGGTGATCACACTATTTAAATTGCTCCATTTTATAATTTTCCAGTTCCTGTAGACACACAGATGTGTGACATAGTAATGCTTTAATTTCAGATGCTTCACAGTTAGAGTAGTTTTATAATCTTTCAATTTATTTATTTATTTATTCATTCATTTATTTATTTATTTTAGTAGAGGTCTATAGGGTTTCACTATGTAGATTGGACTCATAGTGACTCACCTGTGTTCAGCCTCCCAAAGATCTGGGATTACAGGCTTGCACCACCACACCCAGTCTCAACTGCCTTCTCAGTGTGCCCTGGGGTTGGGGCTGGCATGGCAGGACTGGGGATCAAACTCTCAGCCCCTTTGCCTGCTTGCAGGCACCTTAATCTGCTCAGCTATTTGGCTTGCCCTAAAAATTGGAGAAAGAATTTTTTTTTCCCAACCACAGTTCCCTGCGTCTGACTGTATTTGCCCAAGTGACACTTTAAACAACTGAGATATCCAGCAAGCCCCTAAGATTCTATTTGGTTTTTGTTTTGTTTTTTGTGGTACTGGGGCTTCAACTCAGGACCTTGCACTTGCCAGGCAAGTGCTTATTCTACTGACCTACCTTCCTGGCCCTAATCTTTCACTTTAACATTTTATAATGAAAAGACTTGTCATTAGAATTGAACACCTTTTTTTTTCTTTATTTGATACAGGATCTCACTATGCAGCTCAGACTCATAGTGATCTTCCTGTGTCAGCCTGACTCAGGGCTGGGATTACAGATGTGTGCCTCCACACCTAGTGTGGGGGCAGCACACACCCAGGGTTCCCAGCCAGCAGGGCATGAGGTGCCAGGGATTAAATTCCGATTTTTGCACTGCCAGGCAGGTGCCTAAACCACCTAGCTATCTAGCTACCCAGCCCTAGAGTTGAACCCTTTGTAGCAGCTGGCTGACACAAATACCCCTGCAAATCCAAATCTGAACATAACATTAAGGCTTTCACAAGGAGTATATTGGGAGGATTTTGTCCTATTCGTTGTGTAGTAAGTAACAGAAAATTATTCTAGAAGAATTCAAAGGAGTTTTTCTATCCCTTTTCTTTATTGAAATTAATTGATCTGTTCAATTGCTTCTTTTGTAGGAGAGAAAGGCCTGTTCAGCGGAGCACAAAGAAAGCCCCACAAGAAATGCCACTGCAGAATCAAAGCCGGCCCCACAGGTACTTTTTGCTAGTTTAATTTTTATAATGTGGGAAAGCATTTTTTGGGTCGATCTTGTCCGTGCCTTGCTCTTTCTGGAGGAGGACACTGGATTGGCTGGTGCAGTACAAGTGCTCCAACCTGGGCCTCTGGAGTTTTGCACTGCGACACCTCTGTGCCCACCAATAATGCCCTTGTTTCAACTCTGTGAGCCTTCCCTCCTCTTCTGCTCATCCTAATTTAAAGAGCAAAACTGAACTAAAGAGAGAAAAAGAAAACTCATTGCACAGAGGAAACTACAGAGGATCTGGGGAGGTGAAGGAGGTGGAAAATGTATTTATTTTCCACAGCAGCAAAAAAGAAACACAAGTCAAGAGCTCAATTGTGAATTCTCACATATGCTGTTTCATGAACACATCAGGGTAGTGTTTTGAAAGTGTTATCATTTAAAAAAGCTGATGCACTTGTTAAAACAAAGTAGTAAGATGTTTTAATCTTTGAAACTAGGTTTCTACGTTAATTCATCAGAATTAATTTATTTGGCTACAGCTTTTGCAAAGTTTTCATAAAAATTTGTCATATTTAGACTAAATACTCCTATAGGCTCCTATAAGCATTCATGCTGTAGAGAACTTCAAACTTTACCTTTTGTGCTTGTAACTGCTTTTAGTATTCTATGAGATATATTCTGAGATGTATGTTTTAATTATTCTGTTGTTAGGATTTACATTTGTACTTTAAAATTTTTTTATTGATTCCTCTAACTCTTTTTTCTATATCATTTGGCAGAAGTTACAAATGCCCCCTTGCTCTGATTGTGAGGCGAAAAAAGCCCCAGAAAAGCAGTTAACCAGCTTCGAAGGCACGGCACCTAGAGAAGAAAAACTACTGTAAATACCAAGAACCTGCTTTGCGAACAGAACATCCCTTTGCTGTTGTCTTCACCCTCTTTTTAGACTTCAGGCTTGATGGAGACACTAAGTTTCTAAAGCATGTGATTTTTTCACAATTTTATGTAACTTTATAAGTAGTCCACAAACTTTCCAAGGGATTCCAGACCAATTATGTTCCTTAAGCAATAACCTAGTTGAGATGGATTTATGCAGTCATAAATATTTTACTGTCATTACTAAATATAAGTTGGTGTATTTTGAGCTGACATTCAACATAATGCTTAATTCTTCATCATCTGGATGCTAGTATTTCGATGATCTAGTTATAGAGATCAACTGGAGAACAAAACACTGTTGGTCCTCAGTATTACTAAAATCCTAATTCTAACCACATCTTAATGGTGTTTGACCACACCAGAAAATTGGAGCCATTAAAATTCAAGTTTAAAATTTTGCTACTTTAATATATTCTTTTCTTGATGATGTTCCACATTCTTCTTATGATCTTGATAATTTAGTTTATCGTGATAATTTGGTTTAAGCTAGGACAAAGCAAATCTAACAAAGTTTCAGTCACTTAATAATCATTAAAAATGTAATTATTCAGACAAACAATTGGGTAAATTTGGATAAATGATCAAGTATCTGACAAAACTGAATTTTTGTTTTCTGCATTGTATAATCCCATTCTATTGCATCATCCTAGAATGACAGTACTGAAATTATCCTAATTTGGAAATTGAGTTATTTGAAATGCTGAGCATGATTTTTTTTGCCAGCTCAGCCCACCCTAAGGGCTGCTCTGCTGTGGCATGTGGGGCAGGGGATTGAACTGTGGTCCCTTGGACCTACTTAAGCTTGCTGAATCAGGCACTTTAGACTGCTGAGCTATCTTGGTACCCCCAGTGAGCATGATTTCTGTTTACAAAATTGGGTAATAGCATATAGCAGAGGAAGAAGATTTTAACAGACAGTTATGCAACCTGAATGTAAGTGGGCCTTTGATGGTTGAATAGTAGCTATGTTGACCCAATGAATATAGTCTCATTAAAAAAACAAAATGGTTTTGTTTATTAAATAAGATTAGGAAAGATTTTTTAATCAATGAAATTATGTTTCTGCATAAGAATATCAACAAATAAATTTATATGTGAATAACCTAAATATGGCTCACCACTGAAAGGGACTTACATAATTCAATATCTGATGGAATTTGTAGTGAATCAAATGTTTAAACTCAAACTAATGGGGCCAGCCAAATAGCTCAACAGATTAAAGTGCCTACAAGCAGAGGTAGGGGCTGGAGGTTTGATTCCCAGGCCTGCCATGCTGGCCCCACCCTCAGGGCATGCTGAGATGGCAATTGAGACTGGGCATGGTGGCACATGCCTGTAATTCCAGCTCTTGGGAGGCTGTAAACAGGTGGATCACTAGGAGTCCGATCTAGTAGTGAGACAGTGAACATCCTATAGATCCTTCCCTAAAAAATACAATAAATACATAAATAAATAAATAAAAATAAAACACCAAACTCAAACTAATGGATTAATGGAAATAGATTATTCATAACAAATATATTCACTTCTGTTGTTTAAACACATTGAATAAATGAAGAAAACGAAATCTTTGATTTTACTGAATGAATATGGTAGTTTTCAAAAACTCATTTGTTCCAGTGTAATCCACAAGTGAGTAAATAAAAACAAACTGAAAGGAATCTGCAATCAATATGTTAACTTAAATTCTGAATTAGAATGCTGCAAACTTGAACTCAGTGGAATATGCGACTCAATCTAAAGGCTGAGGGAATCAGTGAGCATCATTAGGGCTGGGGAGATAGCTCAGCGGCCTAAGCACCTCCTGGCAAGTACAACTTCCTGAGTTCAATCTCTGGTTTAAAAAAAAAAGTGTCATTAGCAGTAAAGGGAATATTGTGTTATATTTACATAACAACTCTACCAACATAGTTCAAGACCCTTTCTCAGTACGCTGCATGTAATAGTGTAGTTCAGGGAAAAGGAGATGTGATTTTATAGCTGCCTGGATTTTCTCCTGGGTCTTTCCTTGTTCTAAAGAACATTTGATGCTCAAGGTGTAGTGTTACTGTGTGTCAGATTTCTGTTTCTCCCCAGTCTTCCTGCCCTGAACATTTCCAGAGATTTACAAAAGAGAAGCAGATAATTTCAGCTTAATTTAGGTTTAATTTGCCACTCTTGCCCTGGCCCTTACCGTTCTCTTAGAGGATACAGTCCCAAGAATGGTTCATTTGCAACTTGTAGCAACACTAAGTTGCATGAGTCTAAGCTTATTATTTCTTTTAACAGTGAGATAAACAAATAATGTTGCCTTTGAGAAATTGACACTTATACCCCAACTATCCACATGTACAAAATATTAACCAAAATATTGATACATACATGCAATGATAGACATCAGAGGATTTTACATCCTGTAGAATATGAATTTCTCTCAAGAATATAAAACCATCAGAATGACTTGCTTTAATGGAAGTACCACAATAAGTAAAAGACTCATAATTTCTCTCTGATTAGTTTTAAATGCTGATCAAATACTAAGTGTTCATTTCTGTGTTACCAATTCATTTTGAGCTTTGTCTTATTGTATGCACATTAATTACGTAAATCAAATCACTGCCTAAAATGTATAAGATCTAAATGAATGCTAGCTTTATCCAGTGCAAATGTGCTCAGAAGAAAAACAAATAATTTCAGTCACTCATGGGGATGTGGTTTCCCTATATAATCTCAAATATCTGGATACTGAAAATACTAGGGATCCAACTCTCTCAATCATGACACAGATATTTAATATCGCAATGTTATTTCAGTGACAAGTCTTTTTTATGAAACATTCTTGGCTACAACTTCAAAAACATATGGAAGAGACATTTATTGCTTTAGATGGACAATAGAGATTGCTGGACTCCAATAATATTTGTGAACTTTGCTATAATGGAATCTTTTATTTTTCTAGCTCAGGTACAGTACTTAGCACTAACTATCGCAGAGACTGAAGTGATTACTGACACCATAGAGTAAGTCGAACTGGCTGGATTTAGGAGTGAAGAAAACATATACTTGTTCATTGGGGGGACATTTTCTTACTCATGTGTACAGTCTTAACTTCCCCCAAAATTGTGTATCGATCTAGACTGTGTTATTTAATGTTCAAGTGATGAAGAATAAAATGTGCTGAAAGATGGTCTATTTTGCTCAATGAATGTTTGTTCTAAAATCTTCAATGTACATTATTCTACATAAGCTAATTCAGAAAGCAATTACTAGTATTAAAATAATTTGAGCTTTGGAATTTTGAAATTTTCTTCTAGAATTTTCTTTAATCTCTTTGACGCCATCTTGGAAATATATCTATATGTAGATATAGGTATAAATATAGATATAGACATAGATATACATTAAGGTATATATACATATGCTTTAGCTTGAGTTTTTAAAATCGAGCTCATGTGATGGCAGGAAATTTGTACTTCTGTTTTTAATTTCATTTTTATTCATAATTGACATAATTTCTATGTATATTTAAGTGGCACAATGTGGTATTTTACTATAAATATACATGGTAGAATGACTAACTTGATCATGTCAAGTTAATTAACATACCCTTGATCTCAGAAATTAAACTCAAGTGTTTAGAAGTAGCCATCACATAGACTGTACTCAAATAGTTGTTGAATGAATTAATTCAGGAGCTTAAGCAGCTTGGAATACACAAAGCAAATAAAAGAAGGATAGTATAATATGACAACAGAACTAAAAAGCAGTCCTTCAGCAAAGGAAAATGAGTATGTTTTATGTTTCTCTTGGTTTTAATTTTATAGTACTTTTTATTTATGGAAAGTTTGTGGATCAAGCTGGGGGTATAGCTCAGAGGCACACGCCACCCTGGCAAGCACAAGTTGTTAGTTCCACTTCTTAAACCAAGAACAAACAAACAAACAAGACGTTTATGGACCTCTGCCTATGACTTTAGGCAAAGGAGATACGGCACTGTTGGGAGAATTTTTAAGCGAATTTCATTGTAATAGATGACATAATTAGCCACAAAAAGACAAAAATAGATTTCTGGGAAATCATTCAAATAAATTTTGCTGCAGTGTGAGCATCACATTGTACACAAAAAGCCTACACGGTTTTGCCTAGTATGAGCACCATCAGGCTGCCTGATGTAGGCCCTGAGCTGCAAGCCTGCACACAGGTGGCTCAGCCGAATCTGATAGGCAATGGAATGCAAAGGTGAGTGCCTCCAGGGAGATCTGAAAGGATTTAAAATGTACCGTAAAAATAGTAGGTGATAATAAGCCTCAGCTGTATTAGAAGGTTATAAGACCTCTGTGAAGGGACTCTGTCACTGGCCAAATCACTGCTGTGCAGTACATGAGGGCCCCTGACATGGGCTTGAGTCTCTAACTGCCGAGCAGCTCAGACGCAGCTGGACAAGCAGTTATGCTACGGCTGTGCAATGCATCCCCCCTCAAGTCTCATGGGTTTCAAGGAGAGGGGATAACAGGGCAGTGTTACACGCCAAGGGATTGGTACCTGGATGGATTCAGAGCTAAATGTGCTCCTAGCAGGGAGATTCCTGTCAGAAGAGGCAGAAGGGCGCATGCCCACCCTGGCTCCTCATTCTCTCCCTGCCTCCTGCTCACCGTGGGGTCAGCGTCTTCTCTTCCCTGGGCCCTGGGCCATGCTGTTTCTTCTGTTGAACAGCCAACCTCAGGATGGACCCTCTGTACCTCGGAGCCAACGTTGGGGGTGGTGGGTGTCGCACCCCAGAGGCAGCAGAGCCGACTAATTCGCACACAACTCACTTAAGTCCGTTGAGCTTTAGTGTCCTCATCACTTAATCTGAAAGCAGGGATTCATGCTCTGTGAACTTGGCTGTTAGTAATAGAACCTCAGCCTGTTGAGGAGATAGAAGAGCATCCTAAGTGTGGCATGCAGCATTTCTCAATTCTCTGATCTTTAGTAAAGAAATAAATTGTGGTTATATTTTAACATGAGTTCAGGGTGGAAGTAACTCTCAGACAGTCCTATTGTGTTACCTCTGACAGCTGGCTAAATTCTTAGTGTTTCACTCTTTCCTACCATACACTGCAAGTACCAGATTTACATACTTCAAGATAATGACGACTATTTCATTTAAGTATTGACTTGGTGTGTACAGAAAAGGCACACAGCAAGTGTCAAATAATCGCTAGTAGCTTCTTTCTTCCTTTTAAGAAAAAAATCTTTTATTTATTTATTTGGTACAGGGTCTTGCTACACAACTGGCACTCCTGTAGATCCTCCTATCTCAGCCTCCCCAGCGTTGGGATTTCAAGTGTGCACCACCACTCCCAGTTTTAGTGGCTGGTGTGGCAAACCCGGGTTCCAGTCCCATTGTGGAATGCAGTACTGAGGATTGAACCTGGATACTTGCACTTACCAGGCAGACACTTAGACTGCTGAGCTTTCTCGCCAGCCCCCATACCTACTAGTTTCTAATTCTAGGATATCTACACATTTATAAGCAAACTAAAATGTCCAATATAAAAATACTTCTTCGGTCATAAAGATAAATACACACACACAAGTGCATTTTAAAGTGTTCAGTAAGAAGCTTACAATGCAGGTGGAAGTGGACCCATATTCAGCATCTCTTTCTCCTTTGTGTTGGGAGAGGGACCTGCACTGAATGAGTAGAAGGCATAATTCATCTTGCTTCCAAATAAACTAAATAAAAGTTTTATTACTTGAAGGAAAATTCTCTTTGTGTAAGCACTACTATGTTGAATACATATTTATAAATACAGAAATTAAGATCTGTTCATCATATCTGTAAAACTCTTGAGGAGTAACATTAAGACCTTTTTCCTTTGATCACTCGATATTGTCACAGAAATTTTCTGCCAAAAATTATGTAATTTCTGTCTGCTCTGTGAATCACAAATATTAATTAAAACTCTCAAGTTCTGTTTCTCAACCATTTTATGAAATGTAATTATTTTTGCAATGCTTTTCTTATTTAATCTTACTAATGATGGAACTGGGTAATATGAGAAATTTATCATAATTTGCACCTATAATAAGTTTAGTAAGTTGTATCAAAGAATACAAACCATTTTCTCAGGAAAACAAATTTGAAACAGATAGTTCTAAAAATTAAATTTTAGATACAGAAATAGGATAATTATATGCTCCAGTGACATTTTTATGGCAAACAAAATGTGTTTCTGCATACCAGATTGGTTTCTG